ATTACTTTGTGATTACTCGGCCCTGTATTAATTAAATTTTAAAACATAGTTACATAGATGCCCCAAAGTTCTAGTGATATATTACTCTTATAAATCTTAAATATAAATAAAATAATAATGATCCTAATAATGACGTAACAAATCCCAATAATCATAAATATTCTAAAATCCAAGAAAATCATCACCTAATAATACTTGAATCTAAACTTTTGACTGAAACTAATGTTCATTGGGTTCAAGGTCATCATTTTCTTCTTCACCCTCTTTGTCCCCAAACCTAGACTGCATTTGTATTCTTATTTTTCCAAATATTAAACAACCTACTAATTATTCATAAATTCCATAATATCCCAATTTAGTTTAAATTGTTCAGATTTAACCCCCCCCCCCCCCCCCCCCCAAATAACAATATTGGCTGCCAAGTAACTCGGCGAGAGTCAACCTTGTCACTGAGTAGAGAAAATTGCCAAGTACACAGGGAGTTACTTGGGAAAATGGAATATTGTGAATTAGAGTACTAATTAGCAGATCCCTACCATTAGTAGCGCGTACTTGGTGAGTACTCGGCAGTCGGCAATTAGATAACATAGCTTGATAGTTGAGAAAAGAAAATTGGACTTTGAACCTCATGTTCTAAAATCTTTGAGTTCATAGGTCATACCTCACCAGTCACCATTATGATTTTTCTGTTAAGGTCTTAAGGACAATACACGAGCACAGTGCAAAGTCAAATTTGATGTCAATACGGGATGCAAAAGCCATTTTTTCGCTGTTTGGTAGTAATGATAAATGAAGGAATATCTGGCCTTTCAAAAATTATTAGTGGTCCACTGCTCCTTCGTATAAAACATAAACTTGGGGGGTGAAAACTCAAAAGAATTTAAGCATGGAATGCAAAATTTGACTCTGATGCAAACTTGGGTGTCACACTAGTTTTAATAGAACTAAAAAACTAGTTTATAAGAAATAAATAAATACGGAGATACTGACTTCTTGAATACAGAAACCATATTAATTGTGGACTCCCAAATTCCCCCAAAGAAGATCATGTCCAGTACCTTTTTTTGTCTCCCCACAAAAGAAGTGTCATGTTTTCTAAAAAAACTAGTTCAATTACCCTAAAATGATTCACAAACAAGTTATATATGATAGATAAATTTAGTCAAACCAATATAACATCCAAGCCTTAGTCCTGAAAGAGTTTGGGGTCGGTTAACATGAATCGACATATAAAATCGAGAGCTAAACCAAGATAGAGTGGAAATCCTCCACACATATATTCTTCCTCTACTTGGCTCTCTCCAAAGGCATACTCTCACTCAATCCAAGAAATTCCATATCATTCCTCATAATTATTGATAAATGAACTTTACCAAAACTAAAAAGTTGTACATTTTTCAAACATGAATTTTCTTTTTAGGGGCTAGGTACGTAGGTAGAACTAATCATAAACTTGCTCAGTTCCAAAGTTATCTTCACACTTTCCTTTTTTGTCCAACCAAAAATTTCACTAATTTCCTTCTATGGAAAGAATCGTATGGTTCATACTGTTTCTCTTTATCCAAAATAAATCTTAACCACACAACTTTCATTTTCTTAATATGCATGCCAACTGCCAAGCCAAAGTGGGTAACAATATGGGGACACAGGAAGTATTAAAGAACCAACTTGTTAGATATTTGACTGGATAGATGTACATCAAAATCCTAGACCTCCTAAAAAGCTACAGAGAGAGAGCATGTAATTCTTACAAGTTATCTTTTATGAAGAAAAGATCCACCACACGGCCATCCGGTGTTGTTGTCACTTTTACTCTTTCGATTGACAGCTCAAGTTCACAAAGAAATCTGGTAACATCTATCATATTTCAAAAACAATATCATATTAGAATGGAAATCAACAAAGACATGTTTCAAGAAAGGGAATTCTTCAATACCGTGCAATAATCCTCTCCGATCAAGACAACAAAACGTCAATAGGTATATGGAGGATGTAGGAGCGGAGGGACATGGCGGATATAAGTAAAGTAATGAGGTACACGTTGGACAGATAGAAAGAAGGCGTTCCTTCAAATTGGCCCACCTCACAGTAGGGGTGTAAGATTGAGGAGAAACCCATAAAACTACATAGCACCATATCCCATCAGTTGAAAAATCTGATTCCAATAAAAATTACGAAGTTAGTGATAAACTTTTTATTTTTAACCACTAACAAGAAAGAGCAAAGCTAAATTTGATGCGTTCAGCAGCTCACTTTGGTGCAAAATAATAAATTAGGTCATCCACACAAATACAAACAGGAATAAGCTACACATGAATCCTTGCAAAGATGTATTGGTGAACTTTTGAATTCGAATCATCCGGCAGGAACAAGAATTCCAGTGAATACAATATAAAACAAGAAAAGCACTTCACAAAACCTAAAGCTGAACCATTTACAGGAGTAGGCTAATAAAATAGAGAAAATTATAAGAAAAAACAGAATAAAAAGCTAGGATTACCTCCTTTTCTAACGTAGAGCCCGAATTCGAGAAGGGTTCGACAGATATCGCAACCAAGGCCGGTCTTATCTGGACAATTAACCGTAATCATGTACGGATCTCCGGTTCGGTTCCCTTTCTGAATCACTACGGCGTCGTCGGTCGGCATTGACCTTGGCTCTACCTAATCTGGAAGGAAATATCGAGAAATTATGGGATGAATCCAAGCTGATTTAGGCGGCTGAGCTGGAGACGTTGTAGAGCGTGTGGAAAGAATAAAGAAAAGAAAAGCGATGGCTTTTGCGGGGAACTCAGGAAGTGTGGCCTCTCCATCATAACCAAATAATGTTTTCTTTAACAGGATAACACTACTCTGAGACAGCTCGTCTTTTACATGGAAAAAGGTGATTTGCAATTCCTCTGTACCTGGGCATTTCCTAATTTAGATAGTACTAAGGACTTTAAGGAGTAAATAAAAACGGCAGCACTAACGGTAGGAACAAAAAGGAAACATACAGACCTAAAAGTGTAGGCCTAATGGCTAATACAACAACAATAATTATTTAATTTAATTTCTAAATATCACTATCTTTTCAAAATTCAAGATATGTTAGGAACTTAGGACCTCTTTATTTTAATGTATTAAAATCAGTTATTTTCACTTCTCATGAAGTAAGGTATAATTTTGAAGAATTTGACTGTGCACCTCACTTTTAAATGAGGGTGAAATTGGATTTTGCACCTTATTTAGAAAAAGCTTTGATTTTGTACATCATCACATTTTGTGAAGAAATATTTATAAATGAGGTGTAAAGTCAAATGATTTTTAAGTAGAATGAGGTGTAAAGTAAAAAAAATTTGAAAATGAGGTGTAAAGTCCAAAAAGTGGAGTGCAAACTCAAACTCCACTATAATTTTCTTATGTTTCTTTACTATACTTCTTTGTTCATCTTATCTGGAAAACTATTTGGGGTGTATTTCCTATTTTTCATCTTTGTTCATCTTCGTCCAAAAATGATGGTCCTGTATTTTCTATTTGGAGTGTCCCAAAATGATAGTCATGTTTTCCTTTTTGGTAAATAAATTAAAGTAGATTATCTTTTATACCATTCCTTTTAATGAACAATAAAAGTAAGGGAGAAATAATTAAAAAAAACTAAACATTGAAGGATGCGAGATAAATATCCTAAATTTTCATGTGTAATTTAAATACCCCAAACATTATATAAAAAGTTATTTTAACATCATGCTCATGTATCATTTCTTTTAAAAATGTAAATTCATTATGTTAATTGCATAATTTAAAATAGTGAATTAAAAACGTTGCAATTATATAGAGTGGGGTAGTACTGTTTATTTTACAAGGGAAGTTTAGAATGTTAATTATATTTTCATGAATGCTAAAATATTTTAAATTGTGAAATTAACACCAAAGATAGACATTTTTGAAAAAAATAATACATGACCATGGTGCTAAAATAACTTTTTATATAAAATTTGAGGTATTTAAATTACATATGCAAATTTGGTATGCTGACTTCACACCCTTTCAAAGTTTATCGTATTTTAATTATTGTTCTCTAAAATTAAAGGGTGGAGAAGTGAAGAATACAATAGAGTAAGATTGTACAAGTTTCTACTACTCTTGAGCCCAAAAGATATAGGAACGTCAATTTGGGACAGGAATAATTGTGAACGACAACAATATATAAGACCAACATCCAAATAATGATTGTGAACAATTCTTTTTCCAAATATACTTGATATATTTTTCATTAGACAATACTCCGTAATTGTTTGGTGAATTCAGACTCAATGACATGGTCGGCGGCCCTGACCATGTGCATCAAGTGCATTGGCACAGGGCCCAACAAAAATAAACGCCCAGAAATTTATATTATTGAGCAATTAAGTTGTTAAATTTGTAATTGTTTCACTATTGTACTTCATAAATAAATATTTTTTTGGGTTTATCATTGTTAGTTAATACTTTATTCGTTCCATAAAAGTTGCAACATTAGAATTTCTGCACTATTCATACACATTACCTTAACTACGATTTTCTAATAATATATATAATAAAAATATTATGTATAAAATATTAATAAATTTGTATTAATGTAAATTTCTAATATATTAACTGTTTTTAATGTTTACTAATACGTAAATAAATATAATTACAGTCAAAGTTGCGCGTTATCGAATGTGAAAGTCAAACTGTTTCAACTTTTATGGAATAGAGGAAAGTATGTATTAACTTGTATTTTGACATAAATTTTTACTACCTCCGTCCCACTATGATTGTCTCATTTTACCTTATCCGTCCGTCCCATTAAGATTGTCCCATACAAAAATTGGTAAAATTTGTGTGACTCTAAATCATTATTACTTTATTTTTATTTTATCAATTCAAAATCAAACACATAAATCACTTTTTATTAATTTGTGTGTCACTTCCCGTCACTTTTTATTTTACCTTATCACTTTTTGTTGGTATCTAAGAGCCGCTCAATGACAGTGTGTAAGAACTAAGAAGATGGTAAATGATCTCTGCCCAATGGTTGCTTAAACTTTTCGTTGCTAATTGCTATGCTTATTGAAGCAAAACCCATATCAGCCGCCTCTGAGCTGCACCCAGCCACATCTTTTTCATTTCTGTAACAATCACGGTGAACATGAAGGTCATGGTAGCCATCAAACGGGTCATTGACTATGCCGTCAAGATACGGGTTAAACCGGATAAGGTATTTACAAGTTCCTATGGAAATAGTATTTGTGGTTGCAAGACACAAAAAATCTGATTTTTAGTGTATTCATTTGCGATTCCCTTGTTCTTGATTCAATTGATACTTTTATTTCCCTAAGAGTGGTGTAGAGACCAGCAATGTGAAGATGTCGATGAACCCATTTTGCGAAATTGCTCTGGAAGAAGCGCTCCGAATGAAAGAAGCGGGTCTGGCTACGGAAGTGGTGGCGGTGACTGTTGGCCCGACCCAATCAGTAGATACTTTGCGAACCGGGTTGGCCATGGGTGCGGACCGGGCGATTCATGTTGAAGAACCCAGGACTCTTTACCCTCTTTCGATTGCAAAGATTCTGAAAGCTCTTGTTGAGTTGGAGAAGCCTGGACTTCTTCTCCTTGGCAAACAGGTTGTTCTTCCCATTCTTTCACCTCCTATGCTTTTTATCCTTGCTCTGCTTTATTGTTTATGTTCCTTTCTTGGTATGCTATTTCATTGGTGTATTCCAGAATTTAGGGTTTGGATGTTTGTTTCATTGGTTTAGATATCAAATTGTACATTGCAAGTGTATATAAGGCTTACAAGTAATGATTTGACGATGAAAAGTTCCTTGTGTATATAGCCCAAATCTGGGGTGAGGTGAGATGTGAGGGTTCACTACCAGTACCACCCTCCTACCCCGAACTTACTTAACAAAACACACACCACTATACTTTCCATCCTTGCCTCCAAAACCATCCCACCAAACAAGGGCTAAAGGGAAAAGGAACAATGTGATAGGGTTCTTGAGAGGAAAAGGGAAACTCCAAAACCTTGTCATTTTTTGGCGTCAGCTAGGCCCAACTAGATACAGTTATCAGGACTGACCAGATTATGATTTGATTTTTATTTGGTGACTCATATTTTAAAGTAGTGTGTTTATAGTCAGTTTGATTCATCTATCTACCCTCTTGTTATAGGATTCTTTCGAGGAGTAAAGTCCAATCTAATAAGTACTAAACCTTCATGTTTCAGTAGTAGTCTGCTTGGTTAGTTGGTTTTAGATTCTACAATTAAGCCTTTCTCGGTTCAGATAAGATGCAGACACCTACTTTAGCCTTCACCTATAATTCACTTCATGTTTCATTGGTAGGCAATTGATGATGATTGCAATCAGACTGGTCAAATGGTTGCAGGACTTCTTCAGTGGCCGCAAGGAACCTTTGCTTCAAAGGTTAGCATCTCGTCTCATCTAGTTTTTTCCTAATAAAGGCACACGCTAAGGATACTCCTTTCCAATGTTCCTTTTGGGCTTTTAATGTCCTCTCTGTATCATCTTTTTACTTCTCAATGCATCATATTAGATTCTATTGGCGCTTGAAGCTCTAAATCGCTTCAGTGTGTTGCTTGTTTGTTTTTCTGTTTCATATTCCCACTCTTCTCTCAATTCATTGGTTTCTAACTATATTATCAACAGGTCGTTGTGGAACAAGAAAAACAGACAGTAACTGTAGAGAGAGAGGTTGATGGTGGGATTGAAACATTGTGTTTGGACCTACCTGCAGTAATCACGTAAGACACCACTGAAATTCATTCCTGTCCATCCTGTCTTAGCTTCTACAAAAGCTTTTATCATCCTGAAACATTTTGGTTGAATTGAACAGTAATGTTATCTCAGTTTAACATTTGTATTTGAAAATATTTCAGTTCTTTCCTTTATGTAATAGGTCATTTTCACTTTTGGTGCACGGCTAGTATCTGTTTTGATGCACTTGGTTCCTGCTGATCACTGCTTAATTTATGCTTCCTTTTCTACAGCACTGACTTGAGGTTGAACCAACCGAGGTATGCAACACTCCCTAACATAATGAAAGCAAAGTCGAAGCCAATCAAGAAGATTACCCCTCAGGAGTTGAATGTGGAGATAAAATCTGATATCGAGATCGTGCAAGTTACTGAGCCTCCCAAGAGGAAAGCTGGAGTTATACTCTCTTCTGTGGATGAGCTTATTGACAAACTCAAGAATGAAGCACGAGTCATTTGAGCCTCTTTTTCAATTCTTTAGTTTTTCACTCGATTGTTATTGCACCTTCCTAAAATCATCATTCCCGCGTTCAACTTCTAAGTATTATATTATTAAAATATAAAATGAAAAAAAACATACAATTGTTTATGGGGAAAATAATTAAGGAAGCTCATAGTCCGTCTTGGCTATCCCATCCATTCCCAACCCTACAACTTGTACCACAACTGCATTCTCCTGCAAGAACACCATGTTTGATAGCCCCGCCCCGTGCACACCAACCACCGCATTGAATTTGTTCACGAATCTCGAGACCCGGTTCATGTCCACCCCTGTCTCTTGTGCAACCACTTCATACCCTAACCCTGATGCCATTTTCGCAATCTCGTCGGTGTTCGAAAAACGCCTCGTTTTGCTTCTCGATATCATGAGGAGTCATGGTTTGTGAGTTTTGACAATCACGTCACGTTCCAGGTGATACACACTTCTCAAGAACTTCGTGAAGTTCTTCATGGAGAGAAAGAATATCCATATCACCTGATGAAACAATGTCGTCGTCGATGCTAAACTCTTTGTTGGGGTATTTTAATTATTTTTCCCATTGTGGGTGCTGGTTACAGTTCTCGGTTTATTCTCAAGCACGTATAAGGGTTACAAATGAAAGACTTTGCAAATCATCATGAGAGCTTCTCTACCTACAGAGAGACTTGATCCTTAAACACTTCATAAGGAAAAAAAACTCAAATTGTCAACTGGAACAGCTCAGGAAGAGCCTTCAAAACTACAGGTTGATAAATCCTAGCAGCCATGGGTGTCACTGCCTTTGAAGCTAAGTAGGATTTGTAATAATAATTCAAAGCGAACTTTTTTGTTGAGCAAAAGTATGTGCAGGGACCCAATGAAAATAAGAAAATTGACAAATAGCAGTTCAAATGAAACTTGAGGTGTAGGGAAAAAGGTAGTGCAGTGTCGATGTTCTGTTAACAGATTGATAACCTGATCAGTGAAAATCGCATCATGGAAAAAGGAACAACTAAAGCGATAAAACAGAAGAAAGAACTTCACATCCAATTCTCACTACACCACACTGGAATGGATTTGAACTGAGAAAATGAACGCCTTACTTAGATTACTCAAGTTGTTGGCATTACACATGATCTAAGTTCACAAAAAAACAGCAATTACATACTCCGTACAAGCTAAAAGAGTAAAAGACGAAATCCCAGAGTCCCAGACTGTCATTCCACCTGATCAAATTGTCAACTGGAACAGCTCAGGAAAATCCAGCCTTAGACTTCATGTGTAAGTTCTAAAACTACAGGAAGAGCTGCCATCATAACTTCAGGTGGATGATTACTAGCCTTTGAAGCTAAGTAGGATTTGTAATCACAAATCCAAGGGAACCTATTGGTTGATCAAAATTATGCGCAGGGACCAGATGAAAATAAGAAAGGAACATCAACAAATAGAAGTTCAAATGAAACAGCAGGTGTCCATTTTTTAACTCAAGTGCCCTAAATTTTTCAATTCAAAGCCTAATGTCAGTAAAAATCGCATCACGGAAAAAGAACTTCGCATCCAAATTTTCACACACTGTAATCAATTTGGAATGACAAAATCAACATCTTGCTTATATTACTGAAGTTGCTGGCATTACACATGTTCTAAGTTCCCAGAAAGAGAATAACGAAAGTAGTACAAGCTAAGCAAAAGATGAAATGCCAGTATAGAAGCACTGAGAAATATTCAGAACATCTCTATCCACCAAAGCCATACAATGTTCTTCCCTGCCTCTTTAGCGCGTAAACGACATCCATGGCCGTTACAGTCTTCCTCCTGGCATGCTCTGTGTACGTCACCGCATCTCTAATCACATTCTCGAGGAAGATCTTAAGAACGCCTCTGGTCTCCTCATAGATCAGACCGGAGATACGCTTCACGCCACCTCTACGAGCCAGACGGCGAATGGCTGGCTTCGTGATGCCCTGGATGTTGTCACGGAGAACCTTCCTATGACGCTTGGCGCCTCCCTTACCCAAACCCTTGCCTCCCTTTCCGCGGCCAGACATTGTTACACAGAAATTGAATGAAGAAGACGGTGGAGTTTGATTACTGAATAGATAATTGTAGACAAATTCGCCTTGGATTATTAAAATGGGGTTGCTTGGCGTTATTTATACATCGAGGCTTCGGTAAGTTGTTTTGCGGGGATGTAATCTTGATCGTTCATTTCAATTGATTAATCGACGGTTGATATTTGCGATCCGAGAGTAAGGCAGGGCTGTACGTGAGTGATTGATTTAGCGAATCGACGGATAGAATCCACCTGAATATTTGTAGATACATGGCGCTAAATTTTGGGCGCTCAACTTTGGTTTGTTTTAAGTTTTGGAGCCTATTTTTGTTTACTTTAATTTAAACAGAACTCTTTTGGACATGTTTGTTTTTTGCGGAAATTACTATACACCTTTAGATTCAACATTTCATTTATTTTTCATTTATAACCTTTGACTTTTTCACTTTTAATTTTATATTTCAAAAACAACCTTAATGCTAAATAAAATAGTAATTGCTCCAGGTAAGACTAGAAATTCCCTAAAATGCACAAATAGGACTACTACATTTTTAACCCTCCCAAATAGGACTAAACATCGATTCGTACCAGAAATGCCCTAAGGGTATTAATTCATAATGAAATGCTTTAATTCATAATAAATTCCCTAGCACTCAATCGTTTCTCGATATACGATGTTGCAGTTGGGTGTGTTTCGGACAATGAAGAAATATTAATTAATAAAAATAATTAATTAATTAATTAGCCAAAGAAAAACAGAAAAAGAGATGGGACAGAGTTTAGCCAGAGCTCGTGCTACGCACGATGTTCTTAAAACGTATTCGTCGTCTCTCACGGTGCTAGAAGCGTTGCAATGATCGTTTCCCATGATACGGTGGCTAACGAACTAACGTTTGAGCACACAAACGAGAGTTGCGGCGAACGGGAACAAAGGAGAAACACTTAGAAATTTTTCGGAGAGCTGTAGATGTTTTTCAGAGCTAAAACGTGTGTTTTTCATAAACTGTCCATTTAACGTAGCATTAAAAGTGAAGAACGTTGGCCCTTCTGTTGCGGACAGAATACCTCGAGGGTTTCTGTTGAACCGAACAGAAGCAGAGCGGTTCTGTTGAGAACAGGACCCTGTTATGGTTAAAACGTATCTTTGAATGATAGATTTTTCGGAAGGCTACGCACGATGTCCTTAAAACGTATTCGTCGCCTCCCACGGTGCTAGGAGCGTTGCAACGACAGTTTCCCAAGATACGGTGGCTAACGAACTAACGTTTGAGCACACAAACGAGAGTTTCGGTGAACGGGAACAAAGGAGAAACACTTAGGAATTTTTCGGAGAGCTGCAGGTGTTTTTCAGAGCTAAAACGTGTGTTTTTCATAAACTGTCCATTTAACGTAGCATTAAAAGTGAAGAACTTTGGCCCTTCTGTTGCGGACAGAATACCTCGAGGGTTTCTGTTGAACCGAACAGAAGCGGAGCGGTTCTGTTGAGAACAGAACCCTGTTATGGTTAAAACGTATCTTTGAATGATAGATTTTTCGGAAGGCTACGCACGATGTCCTTAAAACGTATTCGTCGCCTCCCACGGTGCTAGGAGCGTTGCAACGACAGTTTCCCAAGATACGGTGGCTAACGAACTAACGTTTGAGCACACAAACGAGAGTTTCGGTGAACGGGAACAAAGGAGAAACACTTGGGAATTTTTCGGAGAGTTGCAGGTGTTTTTCAGAGCTAAAACGTGTGTTTTTCATAAACTGTTCATTTAACACAGCATTAAAAGAGAAGAACGTTGGCCCTTCTGTTGCGGACAGAATACCTCGAGGGTTTCTGTTGAACCGAACAGAAGCGGAGCGGTTCTGTTGAGAACAGAACCCTCTTCTAGTTAAATCGTATCTTTGAATGATAGATTTTTCGGACGGCTACGCACGATGTCCTTAAAATGTATTCGTCACCTCCCACGGTGCTAGGAGCGTTGCAACGACCGTTTCCCAGGATATGGTGGCTAACGAACTAACGTTTGAGCACACAAACGAGAGTTCCGGCGAACGGGAATAAAGGAGAAACACTTTAAAAAATTCGGAGAGCTGCATGTGTTTTTCAGAGCTACAACGTGTGTTTTCATAAACTGTCCATTTAAAGCAACATTAAAAGAGAAGAACGTTGGCCCTTCTGTTGCGGACAGAATACCTCAAGGGTTTTTGTTGAACCGAAGAGAAACGGAGCGGTTCTATTGAGAACAGAACCCTCTTCTGGTTAAATCGTATCTTTGAATGATAGATTTTTCGGACGGCATTCATGTCCGCAAGTCGCCCACGCACACGAGTCACGATTTTTCTTCTCCGTTTTCGTGATTTGATCGGCACCCCCCTGCGCGCAAGAGACAGACCTTACCTTTAGGAATCTTAACTCCTTAAAAGAGGCTTCCCTTTATAAGAGGGTGAACTTTGAGAATCAATTTCTCATTCACCCGTTATCCGTTTTGAGCGTACCATATATTGAATTGTAGTCCTTAACAAGGACAATCTGAAACCGCTTTGACCCGACCCAAATCGGAAGTGGACCCCACTCAAATAATTGCCCCAAAATGACCATTTAATGCAATTTTTAACACATTTTTTTCAACAATCCCCCCCATGAATGAAAATTGATTTTCGAGACTTAAAAAGACATGAAGATAGGAGGACACGTTGTGTTCACCGGATGATCCTTGCATACGGAGAGGTAGGTTTTATCCTTTGAACCTTCCGCTGTAAAGACACGCTTATTTACTGGCTGTCTAGTAGACTCGATGTCCTTGAACTATAATGTCGTCGTGTAAACATTGACTTATCTTTACACAACAACCTTCCAACTTTGTTCCGTTCTCATGGGTGTGCCCATTTTGGCCATGGGTCACCGTCCCGGTTCTGCAATAGTTTCTAAAGAACTGAGCATTTACAGTTCTCCTTTGAAGCGGCTCTCTTCTCTCTCACATAGGTGATTCTTTCACGAGTATCCCGCATACTTTTTCAATGTTATCGAGTAGATCAACATTTTAGAATCATTAAAGTAAACGTTTTTGCTAACCTCGTGCGGGAGTCATTGTTTTAACGAGGGGTGGGTAGGAGTCGGGGACCCCCACAGTGACCATCCTTCGCTCTATAATTTAGATGTCCCTTTTGAACATAGGACCAACTAGGTTTGGTATGTTAGAAAATTGATGTAACGTACCTCGAAAGTACAGCAGCAGAAGTTTTAAAAATTTCCCAAACAGATCTTCCCTGATTATGACAAAACAACAAATATGACAATAATAGTATATCTGAGTTAGAACTTACAGATCTTCCAACCTAGCGGTGATAATCCTTGACCTCAGGTATCCACGTGATTTCTCCTTTCCGACAGAACGGTTAGATCTCCCTAAGAGAAAGGCTAGGAAATCTCTTCGCATGGAAATAGACTGGTAACTACTGAATTTTAAAACTGGTCTACCAATTATGGAGAAGGATGTATTTATACTAGTTCTAAATTAGTTTCCCAAGTAGAATCAAGGAGTTGGTATTTTACTCCAAGTAGAATAGTGACTCAATTAATAACTAATTTTAATTTATCATTTTAAGGGGATGCCAACCGCCTTAACACCATGAAGCAGCAAGAAACTTCAAATTCAATCCTGATTTTCTTCAAATACGTGAACATCGATAATTGGTCTAAACTCCACAAAGTTAGAGATCGAAGTTCCAAGCTAAAATTAATTAATGGTATTAAGCGGCAGTTTTCTTCCTGGGACGGTGTTTGTCTAGACTATCAACAATGATAAAAAAAAACAGGTTGTCGTAACTTGCCCTATCCGATTTCAATGAATCGCGATGAACACGGACCAATTTTAACGCAAATAAAATATGAAGTATAAAGATGTAAAAATTATATCGAGTATAATTTTATCTCACGAAAAATTCTACCAAAATTCGTATGATGCCATTAGAATTAGTTTGGCTCTGATACCACTGTTTAACGTACCTCGAAAGTAGAGCAGCAGAAGTTTAAAATTTTCCCAAACAGATTTTCCCTGATTATGACAAAACAACGAATATGACAATAATAGTAGATCTGAGTTAGAACTTACAGATCTTTCAGCATAGCGGTGATAATCCTTTACCTTAGGTATCCACGTGATTTCTCCTTTCCGACAGAACGGTTAGATCTCCTTAAGAGAAAGACTAGGAAATTTCTTCGCAGGGAAATAGACTGGTAACTAGTGAATTTTAAAACTGATCTACCAATTATGAAGGAGAAGGATGTATTTATACTAGTTCTAAACTAGTTTCCCAATCACAATGAAAGTCTTTCTAATTAATGAGTTATAGTCCTACCAGGATCAATACTTATCATTAACGATTTTATTAATTAAATAAGTAAAACAAAATAAACTAATAATAATATCAAAGTGGTTGCACGTCACTTTGCTTGTTATTATTATTATTTATTTCATTTTCTATTTTCTTTTAATTCTAAATTATAAAAGAAAATATCAACTTTATTTAATTAAAATTACATCTTAATTAAGTATAATAAATCTAATTTATCAAACTTAATTAATTCTATCAAATAGAACTTTCCTTCAAATATATTAATCTAATTAATAATTAACTCATCTTATTTTCAGCATTATGAATTAAATATTATTTAATCCAATTAATAATATTTAATTCCTTCAAACAATTCAATCGGAAGGTATAATCACTTGTTGTGTGACCCATAGGGCCTTATATATTAAGCACTAATCAAATTAAGGTCTTAATAGAATCCCTAGACAATTTACCAGACAAACTTAATATATAAGGACATTTGCGGGGACTATTCAAATTCCATGTAGTATAGAGCTCATAGTGATACAGTCCTTTCATTCAACGAACATTCAACTAAGTCTAGAACATGATATTGTGTCTATTCCGATAACTTAGTTTCTGTCTCTCAATCTTTCTAAATGATCCATAACGATCATATTCGATATCCAAAACGAATATATCCTTGCATTGGCAATGACTTTATGATCCATCTAGATATGAGAAGTAGAATGTTCTCTCTTAATCTATTATGAGGAATGAATCCTTTATTGGCTCAACTACTACTCCATGTGCATCGTGATGCACCCAACACATGCCGTATCTACTCCGATTGGAGTGCATGTGTTGGTCATGGTCAAAGTACATCACTCCGCACATGTAATACGTATTGACCTCAAGTCGGAGGACTATTACACTACTCTATACGCCGATAATCCCATAGACACATGAATAGAACTTATCAAATGGTTTCTCGGTGGGTATGCCAATATTCTCTAAAATATCTATGTGACCATCGTGAATTACAGGAACTCATAGTTGTGAGATCAACCATACTTTCTAAAAG